ACCATTGTCTTCCCATTCAAATATATTGGTATTCTGGGATCTTAAATGATCACTATTGACTTCTTCTTTACTTATGATACTGATTCAAGTATACTGAAATATTTGGCCACATTTTATATGTTGAGATCTCTCTTGGAATGTCTAATTCCATACCTTACAGATGTGGTCCACATTGTCCTACATAGTAACTTGAACCTCTGCAAGGACCTATGAACTAGTCAGAAATATAAAGGTATATGCATGTGCATTCACATGACAAAAGATACCAAACTATTTGTGACAATTTATCATTAACCAGGCTTATAAGATATTTCAATATCAACTTCAATCGAGGGACAATGACTATACCCTATGGAGTATTTTAGGTTTCTATAGGAATGGAAACTTTCCTGCACGAAGGCCAAAGAAGCCATTTTTACAAAATATCTTCCCTCGCCTTGGAGTTCATTCTACTCTGGGCTTGGGTACACTTCCTGAGATTTTTTAATAAAGGAACAAATGTGATGACAGTCTATCAACATGATTCACAGCACTACTTGTGGGAAATTTGGTGATAATTGGTGATAACACTCCCAGAGCATTTCCTACCTCGTTGGCCTTTCAATTGTGATTTTAAACCTCCTACTCTTCAGCAACTAAGAATTCTGATGTGAAGCACCAGTGCCCTGTTCGATCAGGAGATCTTAATTACTTGATCCAAGCAGGACTCATAGTTTCCACAGAATAGGATATAAAATTCATAACGTCATATAGTCATATGCAAAGGTCCTTATGCAATCTCAGTAAAGGAATGTTTACCTATCATTCTGTAAACCACATCCAAATTCTTCCACTAAACATTTGGAAGAATGCATTGTTTGCACAGATCATATTAGTGGTCCTCAGGTTGAATTCAGGGGCAAAAATTTGTGAGGCTTCCTTAACTTTTTATACCAGTTGCCCTTTTGTAATACTGATTTTTCAACTTAGGGTCTTGCTTCTTTGTCTGGGCATTTCAACACAATAATTTTAAAATTACATATCACAAGTAGGACACAAGATAGGCACATATGACCAGATCCATCCTTTGATTGGCTAAGATATTATTTTCATGAAGCTTTTGCATGGGATGGCCGACAAATACCACCTTTCTAATTTCAGCTTCCTGAGTAACTAAGATTCCACACATGAGGGAGTGTAATTGCTCATTTTTAATTGCTGGTTTTAAATTAAAACAAGGAAAGGGTACTTTACCAATTCAGTGAGCAGCAAGTCCCTTAAATTTTGAGCTCAAGCAAAAGTGTTGGCCAAATGATAATAACAAAAATAATAAAATCAAAAATAAAATGTTATCATCAGGGCTACTTTGAATGAATGTGGTATGTTGGTTCATGAGTTTTAATTACAGCTATATGACAGGCCTAGGTAGAAGGGACTCTGGTCCATGAAGCATCCTTTATCAGAAAGCATCCAGTTTGTAAAAATGGGAGAATGAGCTATATCCAAATGGTTGGTGTTTGTGTATGTGTGTGTTTATGTGGTACAAATAGGAAGGCCAAGGACCTCCTAATTCCCCTATTTTTTTTCTTTACTAGGCCTCAGTAGATAAGAAGGGTGAACAGTGTGAGGGAAGGCGTTAAGCTAGCAACCTAGCTAAATGTGAAATCCACTGTCCTTATCCTGTAAATGGAACCCTAGCTAGGATTTAAGTATTCTCTTTGAAAAATTAAAATAAATACTGAAATTGTTGAAGGCACAGGAAGCCTGAAGTGAAGCACTGAATGAAACCTCTTATTCCCAGAGAGAGATTTCTTCAGAACAGCCCACAGGGCTCATGTTTGATTCCTAGCTTTTATGGAATCCAAGATGAGAGAATCTCCCTTGAAGCCAGCTCTGGCTGGCTTCAACTCAGTGCCTGAGTTGAAGACCTCATATTGGCAAAAAACAAAAAACATTTCTTCATGAAAGTGTGAAAGTAGAGCTCTTCATGTAACCAAACAGCTCTGGACATATCTGGAATAACTGGCTTATATAGGATCTGGAGTCTTGGTCTTGGTTTACTAATTAAGCACTGTCTGATGTTAACAGACATTTTTTCTAAATGCCTCCAGGATGTCTTTAATTAAATAACCATACAGTGGCATCTATCTTGGCCCTAGAAATTCTAAATTTAGGCCAACCTTTGTGTTTCTTTAAAAGAAGACAGTATATTTGTTGGAAGCCACATTTTGGAAGATGGAATACTGCAGTGTTTATTACACAGCTAGCAGTCTGCAAGCAGCCTGTTGTAACAATGACTTGCAGTCCACAAATACACTTAGGCAGCTTGGAAACAGGACAGAAAGGAAAAGAAAAAGAATAAAATAAACACCCAGAAACCAATCAGCACCAAGAGAGTGCTGAATTGGGACACTATGATGACCAGAGAGAAGCCAGGAGACAGGACACAGGACATGATCACAGAGACATGTACCAAGGCATCTAGTGCCACTGCTGATCCTGCCTAAATAGGGCCTAAGCAGGAGGCAGTCCACAGGAAATTCCAGTCTCAGGCACTGGACTAAGAGATTGAGTAACATATCAACCAAATTCTCACCCCTGCTTCCAGGGAACCAGTCACACCCATCAGTTGGGTGGCAAGTGATGGATGGGGGCATTTCCTTCCCCCTGCATGAAGACAAGATGCCAGACCCCACCATCCACCATGTGGCCAATAGGGCACCAGCCACACCTGACCTCCTTACTTAATATTACTGAATTATTAAGTCAATTTATAAAATGTTACAGCCTCCTTATCATTTTATAAACAGTAGAAGAATTTCCTGTTTGTAAAAGCCATTTTTCTTGAGTCCCACGTCTGAAACAATAATTTTCACATTCACTAAAATTTAAACATTTTTTTTTTTTTTTTGGTCCAGTCATGGGGCCTGAACTCTGGGCCTGAGCGCTGTCCCTCAGCTCTTCAGCTCAAGGCTACAGCCCTACCACTTGAGCCACAGTGCCACTTCCGGCTTTTTTTTTTTTTTTTTTTTGCTTATGTGGTGCTGAGGAATGCAGCCCAGGGCCTCAGGCATGCAAGGCAAGCGCTCTAGTACTGAGCCAACTTCCCAGCCCCTAAACATTCTTCTTTTGAATAGTTCACTTCTTCCTTCTTCCTCATTCTTTCCCTTCCTTATTCCCTCTCTCACATCACTCCTTCCTGCCTTCCTTCCTGCCTTCTTTCCTTCCTTCTTTCCATTGTTCCTTCCTTCCTACTTCCTCTCAGGGCCTAGAAGTGATGCTGTAGCTCAAGTGGCAGATGGTTTTATTGTTTTGTTAACTTCAAATTTTGTGAGAGATTGGTCAATATCTTTGTGTGCTCGATTATTTCCCCTGATGTCCTATCCACTTTGGCCCTCTATGAGATAACACAGGTGCTACACATCATCCACACTGGTGTTTTGTAATAGCTTGCTCAGCAGAACAACTAAATGGGCTAAGAGTGAATCAATCACAAGTTGCTCATCACTAGTGATTAATTAAAGAAAAGAGCAAGCACTGAAGACACTTTGGGGTTCTCCTCAAGGCAAAATGCACAGATTCTAGTCTTTAATATTCCATCATATTTTTTAAATATACATTTTATTGTAAAGATAGTGTACAGATTGGTTATATCATTATATGAGTTAGGTCATGAATACATTTCCTATTGAGCATTGTTACCCCTCCGATAAAGACTTTACTATTATGTATGTACTCCAATAAGGACTAAAATCTTCCATTATATCTTCCATTCAAAAACTGAACTGGAATAAGTAAGTCATTTGTACTATAAGGCATGGATCACACATACAGAGGGAGACTTAAGGGAGCAGTAGAAAAATGGTTGTTCTCATGTTCTTGCCTCCTATCATAACAGTCTACTCATCTATCATTCCCATAAGCATGTTGGAGATGATCTGAATCCAGTTCCAAAGGGCTAGAACTCATATTACTAAGAAAAGTTTATCAAATTACCCAGACACACCATTCCTTAGTATAAAAGACACAAGTTTATAATTTCAATCTCTGAATTACTTTTCCAGACTGGTTGTTTCTACATGCTTTGGATAATATTGAAGGACACCATACCCACTCAACATAGTGATAAATGTTGGCTCAAAGAGAGCTGAATAGTGAAGAATAGTTTTCCATCACATCTAACTTACCTCTGCCATGAAGAATTTCTCTGTATAATTTACAGAGGTTTTCTGACAAAGATTTTCCTACATTGGGTTTCTTTCCAGGGTGAATATTTTAATAATTGCTGAAGGTTGTCTTCTAGTTAAAGACTTCCTCTCATGTTTATATTTACAGAAATTCTGTCATGTGTCCAGGTCTCAGATACCTGTACAGATGTGACTTCTGGCAAAATGTTTTCTATACTCATAATTTCTCTCCTGTGTATGATCTCACATATGCTGAGGACTGATTTCTGATTGAAAGTCATTTCACATATGTTCTAACTTTCTTTTCTCCTATGTGAGTCAGTTCTCTGATAAACACTGAGGTATTCCTGTCAGGTCAAAGGATTTCCACATTTGTAATATTTTTAAGATTTGTCCGCTGTGTGTTCTATGAACTTGGATCCATAAATACTTGGCAAAGGACTTTCCACATTTGATATATTTGCATTTTCTCATCTGTGTCTGTTCTCTGATGTAAACTGGGTTATGACTTTTTCTAGAAAACCTTTCCATTTTTCCTACATATGATTTTTCTCCTCTTTGTTATCATAAGGTCTCTATCCTGTATTGGTTCTGTATTGCAATTTCAATTTACTTACAGATCAAAGACTTCCCCATTTGGTACAATCCTAAGTTATTTCATTTGTGTGAATCAACTTATGTGTGTTAAGCTGTGACCTCCAGGTCTTTTCACACTGGTTGCATTCATAAGGTTTCTCTCCTTGTGTTCTGTGATGGATGTTAAGGTGTTCCTTCCAGGTGAAAGAATTTCCATGCCTGCTACATACATAACATTTCTCTCTGGTGGGTTTTTTTCTGATGGACAGAAAGGTGTAAGTTCTGGTCAAAAGACTTTCCACATAGCTTACATTCATAAAATTTCTCTCCTGTGTGTGCTCTCTGGTGGACTGTAAGGTGTAGCTTCTGGCTGAAAATCTTTCCACACATATGACATTCATAAGTTTTCTTTCCTGTGTGTTTTCTGATGGACAGTGAGGCTTGACTTCCAGGGGAAAGCCTTTCCACACATGTTACATTCATAAGGTTTCTCTCTTGTGTGTGTTGTCTGGTGGCCAGTAAGGTATGACTTCTTGGTGAAAGACTTTCCACACATGTTACATCCATAAGGTTTCTTTCCTGTGTGTGTTCTCTGGTGGCTACTAAGATATGCCTTGCAGGTGAAAGACTTTCCACAAATGGTACATTCAAAAGGATTCTCTTTTGTGTGTGTTCTCTGGTGAACTGTAAGCTTTGATTTCTGGATGAAAGACCTTCCACACACATTATATTCATAAGGTTTCTTTCCTGTGTGTGTTATCTGATGGACAGTGAGGGTTGAATTCCAGGTGAAGGACTTTCCACAAAAGTTACATTCATAAATTTTCTCTCCTGTGTGTGTTCTCTGGTGGCTAGTAAGATATTCCTTGCAGGCGAAAGACTTTCCGCAAATGTTACAATCAAAAAGTTTCTCTTTTGTGTGTGTTCTCTGGTGGCTAGTAAGCTGTGATTTCTGGGTGAAACACTTTCTACACAGGTTACATTCATAAGGTCTCTCTCCTGTGTGTGTTCTCTGGTGGAGAGTAAGCTTTGATTTCTTGGTGAAAGACTTTCCACACACGTTACATTCATAAGGTTTCTCTCCTGTGTGTGTTCTCTGGTGGAGAGTAAGGTATGCCATCTTGGTGAAAGACTTTCCACACACATTACATTCATAAGGTTTCTCTCCTGTGTGTGTTCTCTGGTGGCTAGTCAGATACGCCTTGCAGGAGAAAGACTTTCCACAAACGTTACATTCAAAAGGTTTCTCTTTTGTATGTGTTCTCTGGTGAACAGTAAGCTTTGATTTCTGGATGAAAGACTTTCCACACACGTTACATTCAAAAGGTTTCTTTCCTATATGTATTATCTGATGGACAGTGAGAGTTGACTTCCGGGTGAAGGACTTTCCACACAAGTTACATTCATAAATTTTCTCTCCTGTGTGTATTCTCTGGTGTCTAGTAAGATATGCCTTGCATGTGAAAGATTTTCCACAAATGTTACATTCAAAAGGTTTCTCTTTTGTGTGTGTTCTCTGGTGGACAGTAAGCTTTGATTTCTGGGTGAAAGACTTTCGACACATGTTACATTCATAAGGTTTCTCTCCTGTGTGTGTTCTCTGAGGGACAATAGGGTATGTCTTCTCAGTGAAAGACTTTTCACACTCTTTACATTCTTCAACTACAGAAGACACATGAGGACTATATGCAGCACACATCTTACCAGGTTCACTGAAAACACCCATGTGCTGACACCCAGTGACCTTTTCTATCCTCATCCCTAAGGAGTTCCCATTATTCTTAATCAGTTCTGACTTCTGTATGGAGCTCAAATGAAAACTTCTTATAAGTCTCACTTTTTCCTCCCCTGGGTTACTATTCATGACTGCTACTTCAGAGAGATATTTATTGTGACTTTCCTGACAGGTGCTAATCACATCCTCCATTTCTGGGACATCTAAAATGAATAATAGAAAAATAAACAAAAACATAAATGAGATCCATAAATTCCTTAATGTAAAGATATTTCCTCACTTTCTGTTACTATATTTTCAAATATCAAAGCATTGCTTTATGCAGAATATATACTTTTCTTTGCAATGTAGTAATTATGAAAGTAGTACTGACATTTCACAATGCAAAATAATGTTTTCGGAATTTCAGATTTTTCTTTTTTTCTCAAGGAAATATTTACTCAAATAATTCATCTCCATACTCTTAATGCTTCCATTCTGAATCTCCCTCTATGCCCAGCACCACTGATAAGAAATTGTCCCAATCAGAGAATAGCAGCCCTAGCATACTCCTATTTTCCTCCTACCTGCATAATACTAGTTTAAAAGAAAATGAGATCTCCTTTCTACATTTCTTATTGTCTTTTTCTCTTTATGAAAGACTTCTCTACAGAAAAAGGGAATTGCTAACATTAACTACACTGGCACACCAAACTCAGTTTGTCTCCAGGAGAATTCTGGATTGAAAATTCCTTGAGACAAAGGATCACCTAGTTCTCTGCCACACATGATTCAGGGGAACTAGGAATACTATTGCTCTGTACAGCTCAAGATAAACAGACCAACTGGGCTCTGGACCCACCATGACCATTGTAGATGCTTTAACTGACCTGTGAAATTCTTGTCTGAGGCTTCTCTTATCCATGGTTCTGCACCTTGCTCCAGCTTCACAATCAATTCAGGTTTAGGAACACAGTGCCCTGTGGATAAGAAATAGTGGAGAACTATTGCTCTTGCTGGGTCATCATTAATGTAAGGTCGCAGACATCCTGTTCACAAGGTTGCTCCTAAATCTGGTTTCTCAATTGTTTGTGTGGGGGGTGGTTGAGTTTTGGGGCCTGAACTCTGGGCCTGGGAGCTCTCTCTCAGCTCTTAAGCACAAGGCTAGCACTCTATCACTTGAGCCACAATGCCAATTCCAGCTTTTTCCCCCTGCTTATGTGGTGCTTAGAAATCGAACACAGGGTCTCAAGCACACAAGGCAATCGCTCTACCCCTGAGCCATCTTCCAGGCCCATGGTTTCTCTATTCTTAATAGCTCCATGGTGGAGTTTCCCTCAGCTTTGAGTTTATTGTGTCCATTGTGTGGCTTGAACTCAGCTCTTTTGCTCAAAGCTAGCATTCTACTAGTTTGAGTCTTGGCTACATTTCTAGTTTTGGAATGATTAATTGGAGATAAGAGTCTCATGGTCATTTTTCTATAGTTGCTGGCTTAAAACCAAAATTTTCAGATTTCAGCATCCAGAGTATCTAGGATTCCAAGCTTGATGTACTAAACTCTGTGTCAAGTTTGGCTTACAAATACACACTTTCAACTACTGGTTTCCAGTTCATACTGTCAGGAGTAATGTATATTCTATCTAGACTCTACATCTACCTATAATAATAACCCCAAGGCTGGGAAGTCAGTCGCCTGTGAGTGGAGCATATTTTAGAACTTTTGTCCAACTACTGATTAGAATCCTTAAAGAATGAGAAAAAAATTAGCTCTTGAGTTACATATAATGAAGTTGAAGTTTCCCTTAAAAAGAAATGACACTTCCCTTGGAGTGGAAACTTTTTCTTTTTCTTTTTGACATGCAATGGTCCAAAGGCTTACACTTGTAACCCTTTATTGAGGAGGTAAGATCAGAAGAGGCAGGCTTGAAACCAACCTGGGCACGGAAACCCAGAATATACCCCAAAACAAAAGCCAAAATGGAGTTGTGGCTCATGCAGTAGTGGGAAACGCAAACAACACCAAGCTCCCAGACCTGAATTTGGCTGGCTTTTATACTAGCAGTTTTTTAGCTGGGAATGGACTGGAATCTTATACCTAAATAACATAAACAGTCAAATGTCTACCAAAATAAAAGCACTTGATCATCCAAGAAAAAGTGACCTTTGCTCACCCAAGGACATTAGGTTGCTATAGGTCTCCAGCATTACATCTCTGTGAAGGGTCCGCTGACCAGTATCCAGATCCTGCCACTCTTTCCATGTGAAGTACACAGCCACATCATCAAATGATATCAGCTTCTGTAATGGCACATTTCCATCAAGAAATTAAACCTGGGTCATGAGAATTCCAATCTGCAATTTCATTATGCTGCAGGTATGCTTTTGTCTTACATAAAATGTTTGCAGCTTGCTGTGTTATCTATTCACTGGGAAAATTAAATAGCAAATTAGAAATATTTGACAATATATAAACCTGGTCATTAAAATACACAGATTGGGGCTGGGAAGGTGGCTCAGTGGTAGAGTGCTTGCCTTGCATGCATGAGGCCCTGGGTTTGATTTCTCAGAACCACATAAGCAAAAAGAAAAAAGCTGGAAGTGGTGCTGTGGCTGAAGTGGTAGAGCACTAGCCTTGAGCTGAAGAGTTGAGGGACAGCGCCCAGGCCCAGAGCTCAGGCCTCACAACCAACTAAAACAATAATTAAATAAGTAAAATAAAATAAAATACACAGATTGGCAGGGCACTGGTGGCTTATCCTCCTAGCTATTGAGGAGGCTGAGGTCTGAGGATCTAGGTTCAAGGCTAGCCCAGGCAGGAAAGTCCATGAGACACTTATCTCCAATAAACCACCAGAAAACAGAAAGTAGCACTGTCACTCAAGTTGTAGAGCACTCACCTTGACCTGAAGAGCTGAGGGACAACAACCAGGCCCAGAATTCAAGCCCCAAGACCAATAAAAAATTACAGTTTCCCTAATGCATGCAAACACATTTCTGCTGCTAGCAATAGAGACAAGATAAAAACTCTAAGGAAACAGTAATCTGGCATGACAACAATAAGTCTAAGGAGGTGTCTGAAAAATTATATTATCATTTTTTGATAAAATGTTAGTACATATCAGTGTAACAATGAATTAAACAAATATTTTTTCTGCATTTACACATACTGCTTCACCATAAATCCTATTTATACTGTCTATTAACACATACTCTCAAAAGCAAGCAGAACATATTGAGGATAACACATGGAATACAGAACATAGAACATTACTAGATCTATGAGAAGCAGTGTCCACATGAATATTAAAAAATACTAACAGTACTACAAAAAGTAGCTAATGATTTATTTGGCCCACATAAGATTTGATTGAGGGGCTGGGAAGGTGACTCAGTAGTAGAGAGCTTGCCTTGCATGCACGAGGCCCTGGGTTCGATGCCTCAGCACCACATAAGCAATAAAAAAAAGCTGGAAGTGGCACTGTGGCTCAAGTGGTAGCACTAGCCTTGAGCTGAAGAGCTGAGGGACAGCACCCAGGCTCAGAGTTTAGGCCCCACGACCAGACTTCCTCCCTCCCCCCCCAAAAAAAGATTTGATTGAGTTCACACATAAAAATATCCTAGGTTAACCATGTTTGGTTTAAATACTAAATATTGAAATATGGTCACAGATACCCTGATATATCCATCCTATGTAAAAATGAACTGCTACCATGAAGTTTTCTAAACTTTGCCTACATTCTACAATACAAAATATAGGTGGGAGGGGAATAAAATATTCCTTTACAAGATTTTCATTTTCATAGGCTTCATGGAAGGTGGAGGAAAATGTATAGAAGCTCAAAGAACACTCAATATAACAAAAATGATAAATATGACCAAATGCTCAAATGTGGCACATATTCCTGAGTCGTTTCAACAGTAGATTGCTAAGGATATATTTCCACCTGTGTTAGTTAATAGCAAAATTCCTCAGAGATCAAAATCAATTCCTGGGCAAACATCTGTGAGATTTTGCAACAAGTGATATTTCTAATAAAGAACACCTTGTCACTGTATTTTTTTTTTTTATCAAAACCAGTTCCAATCAAATACTGGCAGTGAATTAAAATATTCAAAAGTAGTGGGAAGGAAAAACAAAACAGAATGCCACATCAAATGAAGTTAGACCAAAGATAACAGAATCAGGAGAAAACTGATTTTCTTGTAGTTTATCATTTGGGGAAGGAAATGCTTTTCTGTAGGGAACTCGGAAGTTGAGCTGAAGGGGGAAAAGGTTTGAGAGGTTGGAATTCCAACCTGACCGCAATGAGAACACTGAGAGCTGGCCGCAGAAGGGTTAAAAGAGAATTCTGGACAGGGTTAAGAGACTGGAGTGCAGGCCTTTTCCTTGCTGTTGGAAAGATAGAAAGACAGCATCTGAACCTGAGCTGCTGTTGACTTTGAAGGCTAGGTAAGGTGAACTTCATGTCTGCATTTTATCTGGGAGCCAGTCTTCTGTCTCAGGAGAATAAGGAAACATGTTTTCCTCACAACCTGTTGTGGCTCTGATTGTACTATTAATATAGATACTTCATTTTTGCATGTTATCAATGGTAATCTTCCCTGTGTGCACTCAAGGAACTATGCTTGCTTGCTGGCACCAAGGGACCAAGTGCCAGAGAGCCTGGTTTTCCCAAAGTCTATCTGTTTATGTTTTTGTGATTTTCTAATTTTGTTTCTGGAATCCTGTAGAACTCTCTAGGGAACAATTTTCCTATACAATGGGTAAGAAAAATGTCAAACCTAAGAGCCATGTCAGCAAAGTAAAACTGATCACTAAGAAAAAGTAGTTCCCAGATAGATCATTTGAAGAAAAGAAACAACTGAGACACATATGGAGGAAAGAGGGAATGAGAAAAGTAAGAAAAAAATGATACAAAGATAGATACAAAGAGAGAGAAAGAGAAAAATAACCAACACTAGTGAGTAGAAAATCAAAAATAGAG